ACTAAACTCCACCTCTTTGCCTGTTATTATGGCGTCAAGCTTAACATAAAAAAAAAGGCGTGAAAGTTCTCGACTTGACACGAGAATCTTTAATCCTCAGCTGATGTGCAGTGCCAATTAAAAGACGACATATGCTCACCACCTATTATAGTCACACTAGATTTTTGTAAACTGGTACAGTATTGATAGAACAAAATTCAGAAGGTTTAACAAAAATACTGTATTAGCAGCAAACCTTCATTCATGCATGTTTTTTTTTTAAAGTACAAGGAATATTTTTATACAAGTATGATTAACCCTTTCGGCCCTGACTACCGCTTTATCAGTGGTAAAGAAAAATGACGTAATGCCCAGCTACCGGTTTAACGGTGGGTAAATACTTGTAACTATTTTTGTATTTACCGTGAAATATTACATACCAATTATTTGACTCAGTAGCTCAGGCAGAATTGTTCAGGAATGCAGAGCTCAAAGGTTTAAAAGAAAAGAAAAAATTTAAAAATACTTGATATTAATAAATGTAAGTAAAAACTTAATGAAAATAACATCAGATAAAAACTGAAATTATATTAAAACATAAGTTTTTATCAAATATTAAAAAGTCCTCATTTTAATAAAAAAAGACCATCAAATGGACTGAATGTTGTCAGTATAAGATACACAATCACAACACTCTCTCGTAAGTTAACTTGTCACTTTAACGTAGTTTATTCACATATCGATCATTACGTTGCAAACAAAATACAACAATTAACGTAAGACAAGTATTAGTAGATAATTGTAGAATACTATATAATACTCACTGCAATGAAAGACTCAGAGTACCCAAACTCCCATTAAATAAAATATCTTTCACCACGAGAGACATCGTTTGATACATTGTTTTCTGGTGTTGTCAAACTCAGGGTAACCATTCTACACATAATATCGCGTATACAACACGGATATATTTAAATCTGAAACGACATTTATGTGCCGTGTTTTGACACCCATTAAAATAAGCTTATTAAGTAGTTTACTCGGTGTTTCCCTCTGTTTCTTTTGCCTTGGACTATACTAATGTCTTTCGCGAATAAATCTAATATGTAATGAATGAAACAAAGATATACATTATACTGCATTGTCATTGTTGTCTCTTACATAATTCTGATCATAAATATTGCATTTCTTGTTCAAGTGTCTTGATCGATGCCACATGGTTATCGTTTTATCTCTGGTATAATTCTGCTACGCACTGTATTCACTAAAATCCGGATGACCAGAATATTTATGTGGCTCATTCAGTTGATTGTCCGTTGGAGCTCGCATTCATGTTTTAAAATCATTTCACCCCAAGCAAGGCAATAAATCCCACTAAGATACAAACAGGGGGAACAATAAAAGTACAGAAATTAAGAAGACAGAAGATAACGATTGGCATTTCGTTTACATTTTTGAAGATTAATATTGACTGTAAAGTCGGAAGAGAGTTCCACGAGCGAGAAGGGTGAGAAAAGAAACTGTTAGTATAAAACTTGCAGACACTTCAACTGTAAAATGATGAGACCTAAATGCCAATCTAGTACTGCACTTGGAACCTTAGGACACTCTAAAACGATGGACCGTGTTATGTCTTCTGAAAATTAGGTTTCCAAAAGTGCGGGTATGTAAATCTATGCTACCAACAGCATGTAACATTGATAATGATTGTGGTTGATTTTATTTTCACAATGCAACACACACACACACACATATATATATGTCTGTGTATGTATATATATATATGTATATACGTATATATATATGTGTGTATATATATGTATATATATATATATATATATATATATATATATATATATATATACGGCTAATTTCTGTGTATTAGACTATGATACTAATATGATTTAAAAAGAATTTTATGTCATTTTAAGCATGACAAGGAACAATGAATCCCTTACATTATTTTTAGCTTGATAGCAGTAATTTTTATCTGCAATGTACTTATAATATACCCTAAATATATTACGGTAGTTTTGTTGACGGCACGAATAGACTACGTTTATTTTTATGTATGCGAATTTGTGGCTGTATGCGCGCGCATGTGTTTGTGCGATATTATTTATACTTTTATAAAACCAAAATCTACTTATACGAATTTTTTTTGACGGGTGGGGGTTAACCTTCCGGATAACCGAATGCATGGTCACCACTTTTGGGTCTGTGATGTCTGGCTTATTAAATTAAATTCGATTTTAGCTTGCTTTATATTACGCCAAATCCACCAGATTACAGAAACTAATGCATATTCCACTGTTGGTTAAATTATTATTCTTAAAACCTAATTGAAAAGTATAAAAGTTTATTTTCTTTGTTGGAAGCACACGTTTTGCTATCGTCTTTTGTTGCTGTATATTTTAATTGCCTTTTGATAGAGTTTTAATAAATTCATAGCTTTTTTGATTCAAAGCGGTCTATTATTTTTTATTTTTAGATAAATTCGTTCTATATTTAAATTTACCTT